TTGTAGATTTTTGAAAGTGAAAGTGAAAAGAAGTAAATGCAGCAGAAAGCAGACATAACAAATGAGCCTTTCTTCAAATGTTAATCAACTGAAAAAAACCCAAACAGTTTGGGCATTACACTAGGTTAGTACATTGCTTTGCTTTGCCTCTCTGTCGAGCAGATGTGCAGTTTCATCTGAAAGTTTTCTCCATCTTTTAGATCTTGTCTTGACTTCCGCTGTTCCCATAACCGACATTTCTTAATGACATTAAGTGGAGATTTCAAGCTGGATGAGCTTTGATATTTCTTTGTACAGCCTTCTTGTACTTTGTAAGCCTCAGTTACCTTCGTATCAGATCCTCAGTCACTTGCTCTGAGGAGCCCATGGTCTGAAGAGTCGTAGCCTCTTCGACCTGCCTCACGAGTCCTACTGAGTCAGATAAGGACTAATGAGTGAACAAACTTCTGAGACTTAACAGAAGAGTGCCAAAATGTTTTACTTTTTTTCAGTTTTTTAAGAAAATTCATTAAATAAAAAGTAACAGTGCAATAACTTTTAAGTAAGGCTAATTTTTTAATGTCTATTACCTGCAGGGGTTTTCTAGGTAGACCTTTGAAAACATTAACAACATTAAGATGCATTCAGGACACCAGTGATGGTCGGGGAGGACCCGTCATCAACTGAGACCCCATCTCCACTTGGTATTGACCTGTATCTATATCTGTATATGTTATGTTATGATAGTGTGTTATGATAATGTCATCTAATCACATATAATTTGCATTTTCACAAGTGTTCTTGTGATCTCGATTCTGTCTATACTATGATCAGACGTCAAAATGCAAATTAGGTGGACAGAGAGTGGACTTGTCAACAAATGATGTGTCTCAAGTAACGGGACTACAGGTGGGATTCTCTTGAAGGGCCGCTACAATGTGCAGGGTGTGAGGGTCATGTGACAGATGGAGGCAGCCGGCGAATCAGTGGTCTATTTTTTCTTAAGAATGTTGAGAAACAGCTCAGATGTCGTTTGCACTTGGCTGAGATCTGATTACAGTGTGAGCCAGATCCACACATCCAGATGTGGTCTGAACGCATTCAGCAGCAATGTGTTTGTTCTGCTGAATTTACATTAAAGCTGAAATGATAGTAACTTAATCCGTCTGACAATTGACAGAAAATGTATTGACAACTACTTTTTGTAAATAAATTTATTGTTGAACTAATTTGATACACAACATTTGACTGAATATCTTTTGGTGTCGGACTGTCTGAAGACTTCACTGTAGGCTCTGGAAAATTTTGAGGCATTTTACATTATTTATACACCAAATGATTAAGCAGTCAGTGGATCAGTTGAGAAAATAATTTGAGTAATTGATGGTGAGCCCTAATTTTCACCTGCATTTACATGTTTTTTTTCTGATATAAATAATGTGGTCTCAAAGTTGAGCTGGTATTAGAGACACATTGATATGATCTGCTGAATCTGTATTGACACCATAACCTATAAATAGGGATGGACGAAGCCTCCATGGCTGCTCTACTGTCGCCATCTTGGCAGTGCCTGACTCCGCCTCCTAACTCACAGCTAATCCAAAAATGGGCAAAGAGGAGGGGCATGTGTGGAGCTGACACTTGGGTGATTGCCAGTTTGTGGCAGTTCATCAATTATACAGAACTTCAAACCTTAATGAAATGTGGTGAGTTATATAAACAGTTGTCATGAAGGAGGAAATGAGCTATAAAGACCAGGCTGTAAACATGTTTTTTCTGTTGGACATTTTAACATGGGAGTCTATTATTTCATGTAAATCAAATGATAATTGTCACTCAAGGGCTACTTCCTGTTTTCAGTAGATGGCGATATGACAATGTCATAGCAGCATGCAGATGTCTCCAGTGTGGGACTGTCATCAAACGTGAAGTTTGGAGCTGACTGGACAATGTATGTTTGAGTTATAACAACTTCCTGTTTCATGGCGAAGCATCAAAATCCTCCGCAGCACCACAGGCAACGAAAACTTGACAGCTTGCAATCGCAAAGGTTTTAAGATGAGAGGGGCCAAATGTTGATCTGATCAATTCTGTAGGAGGAGTTTGTTAAAGTACAATGCCTGTAAATCATGTGCAAAACCCATAAAACATGTACGTTTTCACCAGGCCTGATGTGTGTTCAAAGTTCCATGAGTTGTCGGTTATGTTTAGGCCCTTAAAGAGGCCAGTTATTTTTATGGAGAATAATAAGAAACGCAACAGTTTCAATAGGGTCAATAATAGTCAATTCTATTATAAAATAAAACGTGTTTTTCTCAATCACTTCATCCACTCAGGGCAGGTCACCTACTCAGGTTTTAGTGCCACAACAATCCCTGGCCTCGTGTTACTTTATGTAAAAATGATTCATATGAGCTCCACACAGGGTTGCGTACAGATTTTTCATTTGGGGAAAGGAGAGCACTGGAATCACGTCTTTACTCTGTATCAGCAGATATCCTGAATGAAGTTTTTAAGTTGATATCAGGAGAGAAAAGTTTTGGTTGGTGGCTCCTTCACTTGAGGTTTTAATGTCAGTGTGGTTTCTGTAACATGATCTTGTTTCATTTCTGCTGTGTGAACAGATGATCTTCTCAAAAACAACAAAGTCTCCTCCTTCTCTGTCCTCTGCTTATCACACTGATGTTCAGTCACCGCTATTATTTGTTCCTGTAGCAGAAGTCAGGAGTGTATGTTTCATTTGATCTCTAAATCAGAGGGACAAGTGAAAGGGGAAATTCAGTAATGGAGGAGATGTTGGCAACCGCATCCCTCCTCAGGTCTTCTTTCAGCTTTCCCAGACAGGTCAGGAAAAGCTGTGAAAGGGGAGTATTGATGGTGGATGGGAGGCACATGTGGGTCTAATGGTTTCCCTGCCTCAGCCTTTCTCATATAACCTCAGCAGGCCGGTCAGACTCTCTGTGTCTTAATTATTCATAGGAAACTCTCTGGTCTGCAGGAAGCAGGCATCTGCAGTTCAGACGAAGCTGAAAGAGGAAACAAAACTACTTGCTGGTGAAACAAATAACCACTCTGACAAAGATGAAAATAATATAACGCTTGAGTTGTGAGCAGAGGTTTCATTTACCAAGACATGTATGGAGAGTATATACTGTATGTAAAAATAGCCATTAAAAAGAAAACCATGCACGTCAACCAGAGATTCTCACCTGCCCACTGGCTCGTTCTGTGCAGCAACATTCACACCTTTACAGTTGAAAACCAGGATACACCCACTGTGGTCAGACCCCTGTTTGCACAGGATTGATTTGACCTGAGGAAGTGCACTGATGCCTGACGCCATCATCTTTTTATAGCACATGAGGTATCAGAGTTGTTAATGAGTGAACAATGACAGAGGAAGACCCCCGTCCTGTGCAGACCCACACATGTCCAGCTGTCCTGTAGTGCTGAGAAACCTGAGGGAAATCCTTGTCGATCATTGAGAAGAAATACTTGTCTCTGTTATAACTTTCCAAAGTTGTAAAACCTGGCACATGGACAGTAATTTAGTTTCTGATAAACCTCATGAATCTATCACTCAAGCAGGTCTTCAGGACCTGAGACATCAAGCTGCCACCAACACAGCCCCTTATATTTCTCATGGCAGAGCTGTTTTTGGTCTGAATGCTCAGTTCTGCTGGTGTCAGAGGAAAGGTTGTCACTATCAGCCTCTGATGTGATTTACGCATATCAGTGTGGGAAATGAACATCTCGGATCATCTTGTAGAGTGCAGTCAGAAAGTATTCAGACCCCTTCACTTTGTTCACATTTTGTTATGTAGCGGCCTCTTGCTAAAATCATTTAAATTTATTTTTTCCCTCGTCCCCATAATGACAAAACCAAAACTACACAGAGCTCAGAAAAGATTGTTCACTTCGTTACAGCACAGTTGTTCTTTTTAACAAATGCTCTTTTTTAAATGTAGCTATCATTTTAATGGGATAAATGAGCACATTGCACTTTGATTAAAGATATCAGCCACTTTGCACCGCCCTTCTTTTATGATGGATAATGCAGATGGTAACCTGGATACCAGAACTTGTGTATTGCCCGATACCGCGAATACATGAATGCCATAGAGTCTCTCTTTTATTATCTAATTTCACTGTCAATCATAAAAGAAATGAATCTTGAAATAAAGAAAACTTCCTACACCAGTTGTCCAAAGGCTAGTGCACAGTGCGACTTCCTGTGTAGGCTACTGTCTAAAGCAGCGAAGAAGAATTGATTGCTAGGAAAACTGCCGTTTTATCTGGGTGTAAAACTGTAAAGTTTATTAATAAATTACGTGGCATCAGATCAATGCATAGACTTGCGTACTACTGTATACCGTATTTTACAGGCAGTGCTGGAGGCATTTCTGATACTAGTATCGGAATGGGAACAATTCTAGATCTTACTTCTGATGTTTTTATTAAAAATCTAGACAATAATTCTAGCTCTATTGCATTTACAAAGTGTGTCTTTATTTATTTTTTATTAATTCACATTCAGTTATCGACCCTGTTTGCACACTGTGTCTCACTTGTTTGCTGTACTGATGTGATGATTATATTTTACACATGAATCCTAAGGAAACATTCACCACACATCTGGATGGAAAGTCTAATTTTCCATCATTAGATACTGAATATTGACATTTTAGTCCAATATTATTACTATTAACATTTCCCTTTTAAATACCGTAATCTTTGTGTGAAGTTAGTTCAGTGTCAAGTGCTGTTCTACCTGCCACCAGACGCTGGTACTCTTTCGCATTGTGTGCTAATCCACTTGTACTGCTGCTCATGCTGTAAGAGCATTCTTTATTAAGGTGACCTAGTTCTGGGCGTCTGCTGCTAACAGGACTACGGTAATACTGTGTGTTCAACCTGCAGTCTGCTGCCATAAGATCCTCACAGATACCTCTTCTAACTGCCATGTGACCTCTGTTTTCCCTCCGGGTCTGTCCTCTGTGCTGCCAGGCCCTGGGGAGGAGATGGGAGCCAAGGTGTCGTTGGTGGACGGTATGGGGCACGGCTCTGCGCTCGTTCCTTCTCTCACTCTGGAGAACATCCAGGCGGCATATGAAGATGGGAAGGAGGGGGCTGCCAGGGAGCTGATCCAGCAGGCAAGCTGTGTGGAGTGCAGCGCAGGGACGCCCCACATCGATGGGGTGAGTACACCCAAAACACACGCACAAGACGGTCACACTGTCAACTCCACTGCTGGTTGGGCTGGATGGGCATCACTGCAGCAATATGTGTTCTGTGGGGTGGAAGCCAGGGCTACAGTGATATCCTGGTAAATTCATACTTAGATTATATACTGCACATAGTCCGTTGGAAAAGAGAAATACCTTGTGAATCTCATGGAACTACATGTATGTACAGTATGTGTATCTGGTAATTAAAATGTAATGATGGTCAGCTTGAATATTGAAAATTTAAAGGTACAGTCTGTGACCCAAATGTAAAACAAAACTTAAAACACAAGATTCAAACCTGCACTCACTCAGCAACCACAGGACCTTTCACAACAAATGTGACATGAGATTGTGTTAGATACATGTATAGAAAGTCTTCTGTCTGAAACCCCCCCCAAAAAAAGAAAATTGAACTTGGTGGTAGGAGGGATCGAAAAGCAGTAGTTCCCAAACTGGAGATCTGGACCCAGGCAAGGGGTTCTGAGATAAAACTAAGGAGTCTCCACAAAATCATCAATATGAGAAAACTCTTCTCTAATCTTTGGTTTTTTATTCTGAATTTCTGGATCATTTTTGCTTCTCAGGCCTCTAAAAACTATTCACATGAAACTAAAAAAAAAAAAAAAAAAAAAACACTGACTGAATGAACTGCTCACAACTTGCCCAACCTGTGTTGAAGTACACATTGCTTCGTTTTAATCCGATCAACCAAAATGTTTGGGAAGCAGTGATCTGAAGGTCAGAGGATTGGGCCCGATGGTTCAATCCCTGGACCAGCAGGGTGAAAAAGAGTGAGAGGGTGAGAAAGACAGGCAGCCTGCTCATTATTAGTGTCCAGGCTGCAGTCGCTCTCTAACAGAAGGTGTGTGCGTACGTCAAAGAGAATAGTAATGAATAAAGGAAAGAAATAGAAAACTGGCTGCTTTGACAACATCTTGGCAAAGTGGTCTCAAAAGTATGAGCCCTCTGCTTAGTGGCTCTGGCTTAGTAAACTTTCCCCTCTAACCAACCAGCCAGAAAGAAGCCCCCCCCATTACCCCCACTGAGGTGCTCTTAACCCCCAACTGCTCCAGTGGAGCTGCTCAGTGTTTATCACATCAGACTGTGGTTATATGGGGGCGGCTTCCACTTGTGAATGTATGAACCGTGTGAGTGTGAACATTGTGTTCCTGAAAATTGAAAAATGAAATTGCTTTCAGTCAAACTTCCCTCGATAAGTGTATGCACAGTTGCGTGGCTGAGACATTAACACACACACACACACACACCCACAGTGACAGAAACAGAACAGTAATATTTTAGATGAGTAATCCAGAGCAATAAAGTGTTGAAAATGGCACGATTGTATTGTTGAATTCTATTAAAGTGCTATAAATGTACATTACGCTTAGCTGGCTTTATTTTTTGGACCAGTCACCTAGATTGTAATTAACTACTGGTTTTTAGTTGAGGAAACACGCGACACTCCAGATGTAATATTGGGACAATTACACTTTTTTGTTCTTCAGGTTCTGTGCTTCAGTACATTCAATTTGAAATGAAGTCATGAATACTGCATTGGGCCAAGTCTATGTTTGATTTGAGTAGATTTACATCAGCATAGAAAAAACTGTGTGTGAGATACAGGTTTAGCCTTTTAATACACAGTGTGTAGTTCTCCTGTGTTTTAGACTGTCTCCAACCTTCAGTATCTCTCTGATAAATTTTTGCTTTTGTTTGAGCCTCATTATTATGTTGGTCACCTCTTTACTCATGTTGACAACTCTTTCTTTTTCAATTCTTGAAGTGAAGTGAACTAATTTGCCAACGTTTCTGCTTGAAACAGAATTTACTTTTTATGCCGATTTTAAACCGGTTGTAGCCTATAGTAATTAAAGTGATTTATTTTTATTGCAAACATTACTCTGTCACTGCTCTGCATTTGCTCCACGGATTTAGTTTTCTTTTCTTTATAAAATCACCAAAGTGGCAGCAGATTAGACATTACACCAGAAACATGGTTCCAAGTCGTCTATTCTCATCACAGTGTCTTAAGACCGTTTTATTCAAGGTCAAGAAATCACCCAACTGCCTGAGCACTGCCTGCGCTGCTCGCTGTGCTGCTCTGAAGATAAAGGCCTATATCTCGCACTCAGTTCTTCAGTTGTGATGCAAACTTACAGAAGTTAAAGCTGATCCTTGGCACTTTAATGTTGAATTTATTATCTTATTTCAAAGTGAATGCGGTGAAGATCAAAGCCTGAAGAACAAAAATATCCATTCATGGATTCTTCTTCAATCTTTTTCTTTCTTTTTCTTTTTTTTGGGCACTTATTCTTTGTCATATCTGCATTCTTCACTCACAGAGATGCAGGGTGTTCCCTGGTGTGGTGCAGTGCTCGATGTTGCGATGCTATGAGGAGTGAGTTAGTGACTGCTGCTCTTGTTGTTTTTATTGGAGAATCCATCCTTCCCGGGCGTCAGCAGAGACCTGGCTTACTTCTGCCTGTGCCAGTGTAACAGACTGGGCTGTTAACAAGCTCCAGTCCTCCAGGACGGCACGGGATCTGAAGACGAGCCTATCAGGAATACAAGACATGCAGAAATGAGACATCTGAGGTTCTGCATACATTTACAAATGCCTAAAAACAAAGACCTAAAAACAGTGGATTTATTTGGCATGATTTGAAATGCTATGCCAGATAACATTACCTTCCTTCTTAGCTTAGCCAAAAAACCTACGGTCCTCTCTCCTGTCACTGTAGTTTAAACAATCTGAACAACTAACTCACTGTTTTTACACCGTTGTGTTTTGGATGTTTTTGTGCATGTTGTTTATTTGATGACTTTTTATATTATAAGGTAAATAGTTTCCACTTCCACGCTGTATAAGATGCTCTGGATTCTGCCATAGTGTCGTTGCCTTGACAGTGAGTTTCCATGGATTTTGGGGGAGGGGCTTCTGAAGGAGCACTGAAGAGATGGATGTATTTGTTTTGCTATTGCGTTCAAATATCAAGTCTTTCTTCAGAATTGTTTAATTCACCTTTAAGTGAAGAGTAGAAATACGAATAACTGAGTTTTGTTGTTGTTTTGATTAAAAGGAAAACAATGGTTGTGATAGTAATATTGGATATGGGTGAGTGCTTTGTTTTTTCCTAACTATCATCCCAGAGTTGTTCAAACAGAGTCAGTCCATGCTTCTGCCTTGAATGTCTTCAAGGTTGAGAAGTTGATGAGGCAGAAACTCACAATTGGATGCCTCTGTTCTTTATCTGTGATGTGAAAACCTTACATTTCCACACAGTCAGGAAATAAAAAGTGTGTGTCCTGGTCACAGTTTGGTTATGAAATGCTATTACACCACGTCCTCAAGCGTCTTACCTGATAGGATGCTGCCAGCGCTGTCAGATGCAGTCAGTGACACTGGATGGCAGGAGGGCAGGCTGCTCCAGTGTCAGGTTTAAAAGTAGTTTAGCTGACTTACTAACCGGACTGAAAATCATGGAGCAGTGAACAGAAACAGGTTGTGCTGCTCTCCATCACTCTGCCCTCTATTTCCATTTTCTTTTTCTATTACACTTAGATTTGTAGTTCGGTCATTTGCCTCAGTTTGTAAAAGCCTGGCATGCTGTTGTCCTGTATTACAGCCCTGTGCCCTGTGTACAACGACACAGCTGAATGATTCATTTTGGAGGTTGACTGAGGGTTTGTCTTTGAAAGTGTTGTTTTTACTTTCATTTAACCATCTCTTTACATACATTATCTCTTTTAAGTTAAGATTAACTTTATTATAGCTACATGAGAACAGAAATCGTTAATTTACAACAGTAACATGTAACACAATAAAACAAGAGACATGAGAGAGATAAAACCAGACTATTTAAAACACTTTATTCCTCATGGAACAATATTTGAAACGGATTTTTGAGTGTTTGATTTGAAGGCAGCGTGTCCAGACAAAGTTTATCTTTTAAATTCTTCCAATTCCAGGTAGCATAATAAAAAAATGCAGTTTTAAGCCGTTGGCAGACTCCAGGGAAACTGAAGATTGTTCATCTAGATGTTGTGGTGTGATAGCTGTTAGAAACAGGAGGAAGCTTCTCACTATGATAAACAGGAAGTTTACCAAAGATGGCTTTGAAAATAGGGATATGAATTTCTCTTTCTCTTTTTGAGTAAAGTCCATCCAGTTAACTTGTATAAATTACAATGACGAGTTCCAACACTCAATATAAAATGTACAGGGTCAAGCCTACAAATGAAGGAGTCCGATATCTGCATAAACAGGATATCAATATAATGTAAAACAATTAAAAATGTGGAATGATGATTGTTTCTTTTGCTGCAAAGGAAAGGTTTCTGAAAATGAAATTAAAAACCTGATCAAATTTCAGTTTCTTTACAAGGTTATCAGAGTGAGTCTGGAAAGATAATCTGTCATCCAGCCAAGGTATTTGTCTGCCAAAACTAATTCCAATTTAATTCTTTCTAAAGATTGACATTATCTAACTTTTGTACGGAACATGCAAGATTTCTGGAGAACGTCATGAATGTATTTATTTTTTGTATTTTGAAGTTTCATTTTAATTGGTATAATGATAATTTAAGCGTGAGAATTGACTAGTTCTGGACAGTTTGTTTGTTGAATGCTGCGGGTGAGCTTTTATCCAAATGTACGTGGACCTAAAATTCAGCTTCCCCCTGATATATTGTACATGTGGCTGAACTGTTTAATGTCTCAGCTGGTTTAGAAAAGGACAAATGTGAAACCTTTGCCTAAATTCAAAAACCAGTCCCTCATTGCTGAGATCAGTCAGATAGTCAACAAGACAAAACTAGTTCCTCTTAGAACTCCTTCAGTCTCCATTTATGTTGGAGAAATTTACATCTGTGCCTTCTTCTGATAAAGTAGAAGAGGAGAAAGTATGAGATTAGTTTTTACACTCGTTAGAAATGCAGTTCACTGAACCAATATACAGTATCTATTTTTCCCATTTTACTGACTTTACTTCAACTATTCATCTGGTGCATGTGAGTGTTTTGAGATTGGAAGTAGACAGTTTAGGAAATCTTGTATGTTTGGATTTATGAAGGTAGAATTTAGCCAACAATAAATTGTAATTAGTGTACTTGTCGTGATCAGCCACAGTAATAGTAACTGTCTCAAGACAATCAACAACAAAACAAACAAACAAACGATATAACTAAATCCTGCACATGCTCAGGATTAAAGCTCTGTAGCAGACTGATACTGACACCTGAACTCGTCCCTTATCCACATCATTAAAGGAGCTATTTGTAAGTTTTGCGATTGCTAAATAGCTAATGTTAGCATTAACAGCTGTTTACCAGTCTAGAAGAAACATTGTGAGTTCAGCACGAACTTCATTCCTATACTCACCAACAGCTGTATCCCGAGGTGGAAAGCAACTTTCTTCTTTTGTTTCTCTTTCTATCACTTGTCCTACTGAAGGTAGCATGCTTACCAGCTAGCCCTGCGCCTGGTTGGCCCCTCTCATCACTTTCCCATACTGAGTCACTGTAATGTCCAGTTTGCTCTGAAGTAGCTGCTCAGAGGATGTATTATAACCGCTTAATTGTAAACCTAACAATGGCTGAAGCTCTTGGCAAGAAACAGTATTTAATGGTAACGTTGCCCATGTAGCAAAAGCAAAACTTAAAAATATCTCCTTTAAGACGCCACCCGGCTAAACCTAAGTGGTACATCCAAATCCAAGCCAAGGCTACAGTATATTTCTGTGTTATTTCATCCATTATTGACTGTTAGCTTGCCAAATGCAGAGCACTGGCTACAGTCTGTTTAATTCTTTCCACTGGACACTGTGTATCTACTTGTACATATAAGAAATTGCAATTTAAAAACAACCAAAACCCCATTGAGTTCAGGTCATTTAACAGAACTCTACTCAGGATGTACGTCTGTTTTGAAATGGAAAAGTAATGGTGGCAGTTATCTACTCTGTCCGGTAGAAACAGTAGTATTCAATTATCATACAAGCTAAATGAGAGCATAGAGTAATGAGACCTATCAGAAAGGTTATGCACTGCCTCTCTCGTACACTGCTCTGATTGGCTGACAGTCATTGATTTTTATTTCTCTGGTGACTTCAAAGATTAAATAACAGATTAAATTACTTTAAAACAATTCAAACCTTTTATTTTTATGGACAGACATCCACTTATTATTCTCATAAATACATATTTACTGAGCAAATCAAGCAAAACATTTTTCCCCTTACAGTCTATTAATGTGTTTGCAGGGTTTCCTGTGCAGGTGTAGTACGTTGGACACTTGATAAGTGAATAATGCATATTCTTATTAGTCACTAATTTTGTCACTGTGTGTGTGTGTGTTGTTATAGGTACATCTCCTGTGTGTGGCCACGCAGCATGGTGATCTGGAGAGTGTGTGTTACCTCCTGAAAGAAGCCCGTATCACCGTGCCCCAGGAGCTATCCAACAGCAACCCAGCCATCCTGGCAGCGTACTATGGCCACGCCGGCCTGGTCAAAGAACTGCTGGATTCCATACCAGGTAGGAGGAAAAGAAACATTCATGAAATATGGGACAGGGCTTTTATTTTGTCAATAATATGTTGTTGTTTTTTTATTTATTTTAAATCCGAGCCCAGTCGGCCCTGTGAGCTCAATACACTGCAACTTAACTTGGCTATGAAGGCTCAATCACAGCGGCCCGGGTTTGAGTCCAACCTGTGGCCCTTTGCTTCTCTCTCTCTCTCTCTCTCTCTCTCTCTCTCTCTCTCTCATTATCAAAATTAAGGCAAAAATAACTTAAAAAGAAATAAGTGATGAACCTGATGGGACGCACTTGTTATTCAGAGCTTTTACCTTCAAAAGTCACAACTGGTTTGTGGTTAGTGCTGCTCAGCCTGTGAAATCAGTTGTATTATGTCTCCTGTGGCTCTAGAGGAGCTGTGTCAAGTGTGAGAAAATAACCCTGATGGTCTCAGCAGAGTGCTACTACAAATTTATAACATGAAAACTTCAATGGATGGGCATTTATACCAGACAGACAGGATTTAATGCAAAGGTCATGAGGGTTGAATTATGGGAAGTCTTTGGCTCCCTCTCAGGTCCATGTCTGAGGAGAGACTTACTGAACTGGATGCTGGCCACATCTTGCCAGCAGGGTCACCTGGATGTGGTACGGCTGCTGGTCCATGGCTATGATGCGGATGCCAAGGACTGTGCCATCCACAGCGATGAGTTTCCTGTTGTCAGCGGACTGCCACTGTACGCTGCCGCACAATCAGGTAGGGACACGCACCTGAACACACCGCAGGAGGTGGGAATATAGAGACTACATTTTGGATGTTCTTGCTTTACTGATGCAAAATGAACATTGTTTTTTTTTACAGTGTCTTCAAAAACTATTCAACTCTTTCATTTATATACGTGCCTTCCATTCAACTAATGTGACTCCTCACTCACGTCCTACAGTATATACACCTGTGGGTCCTTGCTCTGAACTCTTCCAGCAGTCTCCTCTCTCCCCGCTCCTCAGATCCTCGGGGACACATTTAAGGGACTTGAAAATGGCTGACCTGGATCAATTTCCAGGTCAGAGTCTGGACGACTGAGGAGTGAGGAAGAGGTGGCATAATTAGCAGAATGGGAGAGCGTCAAGTGTGAATGCATTTGTACGCAAGTAAATTGGCACTTGACCGGCTGGTGTGATGGATGGTTCCTTGGTTGGAAGCTTCTGCGGGAATCAGTTTCTTTTAGATGATGTCTGGCTGTTTATAAAAGAAACCGAGACAACCTGCTGATGCCAGAGATGTGACAGATGTATTTATGAAAACAAATATACATAAAGGTCATATTTCGTGGCTGTGAGATTTGCTGGGCTGTGTGGTATTTTGGTGCCAAGCTCAGAGTCCATGGTGCACAGATGGGACTGTGAGGCAACACAAGGCGAGTTATTGTTGTATTTTGGTGCTAAGACTTTGCTCTGAGAAGAGACAGCTCTGCACCACATACCTGAGCAAATCAGCACCAATAACAGAATAATGCTTCATATGTAGATGAACCATTTAACAATTCACTTTCCAAACAGTGTGTGTTTTTTTTGTTTTTTTTACCGTCAGAAGTAGAAGCAGGAACCGTCAAAATAATCTGCACTTATCTCATTTATCTGATTCTTCCAGTGTCTTTTGTTCACAGTGGATTTATACTTTATGAACCCTGTGCTTAAATTCATTAAATCCCTTCAGTCAGGCAGCAGAACAGACGATTAGAGCACAGTGACAGTACACACAGATATCCACTGAGTTTATCTTAATTAAATCCAGACTGCTACAAACACTCCCATATGTTTCCACACACATCAGAACGGTCAGTATTCTGTTGTTTATGCAGGAGGCTGGATAACATCACCTCATCAGTCATGTGTGTCACTTTTTCCAACTTTCCTTTTTTAGCAAAAGTAACATTTCTATTTTTCTTCTTGAGATGAATAATGGTGCAAATGCTGCTGTGACACAACGTGATGTGACCGTTCATGATGTCAGATACAGTGGGACTAAAACTGAAGTAGTGTCATATTGATGTTCACATATAAATGCTTTGATCAAGATTTTTTTATATTTATTTTTCACCATTTTACAAAACGTGGTGTTGTGTAGCCGCTCTGCAACATTGAGGAAGCTTTATCTTTCTGTTTGTTGAGCAATTCTTCTCATGCTTCCCTTTGATTGCCGTTGCTGTTGCAGAGAGATGAGATCAGTGATGTGTGAGAGTGTAATTATTAATCACCACTCTCTCTCCAGTCTTTATACTCCACCTCAGCCCTGTTGCACTTTGAGCTGCACCTACATAAACAAAAAAAAGCACTTAGAGACGCCCACGCTGTCCGTACGCCCAAGGCCTACCATTAAAATAGGGCCCAAAAGTTTTATACCCAAAAATGGAAATGGTCTCAAAGAAATCCCATCATACACCAGTTCAAGCCTGAAGCTGGGCACGGACTTCACAGATTAAAACCCAAACTGTTTCCCCTTGGCTAGAAGGGTCACAGTGTCTGAAGCAGGGGTTTCAAATCCTGACACTTCAGGCGCCCCCTCAGACAATAAGTGCGTATTGATATTGACAGTGCAACATGAAACAAAAAAATTTTATTTTTTTTTTGCCACTATCATTAGTCTTTAGTTTAGTTCTTTTTGGAGAATAATCTTGCTCTGAGTTTTAGTTTTCCCCATAATTTCAGGGATTTTTGGGGCATGTAAAGAGGGGGGGTATAAAAGTGATGATTCTCAAGCAAGTTGTGGAGTTATAAGGAGTGACTTTTTTTTATTATTATGGATTTATGGACAGTTGTTGATGCAAATTGCAGCAATTATGCGATAAGGGTTTTAAAATGCCTGAAGTGCCTCCTTGAGCTGTGTGCTGGTAAGTGGGCCAAATCAGTGGGCCAGACTTCATCCCATTGTTTTTAGAATACCAGTAAACACCTGACTCTCTCACCTCATGCAGTGTGTTTGGAGTCTTCTGGTTGGTCATAGATTTTGATCTGCTGTCTGTAGTTTGCTGCTGTAAAAAATGATTGGTTTTTAATTGTAGTGAGCTTGTGTTGACATTATCAGAATTGTATTTTTCTTTACTCTTTTGGCACAAAGTGCAGTGAGACTGTCGTGACATAAAACTGAATAGAACAGACAGTATCTTCTTTGCTCCATGTTTTTAGTTCTTCCTCTTGTTTTTCTTTCATAGCAGGATTTTATTTTATGATTTTGTCTTTCTCTCTTTTTGTAAACATTGTTGAGGGCACATTCACATTGTGTGAATATACTTCATTGGACTTGTTACTGCATGAAAAACTGTGTTCCAGTTGCAGGTTCTGCCTGAGCAGAAAGGTGGCAGATTAAAGTATCTATTGTGAATTAACACAACCCACAGGGTTAATAAAAATGTCCAGCCGAGTCCAACACTGGACATAAAAGAACTAAATGCTGTAAATCATTTAGACTGATTGTAAAGCATCAAGACAAACTGTGTTAGTCGGACTCAACCGTCAGATCCACAGTCTGTGCACCAAACTAAATCTACACTAAAATGTTGCTGTGTATAGAATCCTTAGTGGTGTAATAGCTTTGCATTGATTTGAATGTTTATACCACCGTGCTTTTAACTGTATTGATCTAGTGATGTAAGCGTGCATTTAGCAAGATGTTACTCTGTAGAAACTTGACTCTGAGTCTAGATCTATTAATCTGATGGAAGCAAACAAGCACCTTCATGACACAAACACTGACTGCATGAAAACAGACACACAAGCACCTACTGCTGGGTCGCTGCAGGGTCACCCTCATGACAATACTGCACTATGACAAAACGTCTTAAGAAGGACTGGTTGATGTGTGTGATGTGTGAATACTTCCTGAGGGCTCTGTGTTTGCTGCTCACATTCACGTCGTCTGCTTCCTGGAGCGGAGCTGGATTTACAGTTCCGCTAGCATCAGATTTCACTCACTGATGTCACCGACACAACATCCGACATGTCGTTCGAGATCAGGCTGTGTTGTGCTTTAATGATATTCCCCACACTCACTGTGTTTACGCTCTGTCGTGTGCTTTGCGATACACAGTGATGTCGGGAAGATTTACCTTGTCTCAACGAACAGGAGACCACTGCTGTGTAATCACCTTTCTATGTTCTTACCTTCACTGTGATAGAGAGCGAGGATCCTAATGAGCTGGGTTAAAATAAGTACTTTTGTTAAGGTTACGGGATCTTCATCGCCGTGGTTACAGTAATAAACATGCGGTTAAGGTAGTGGAACGGCCATGAATTAAAGAAACAACGCTCGACTACCGGTTTGAAACGGGAAACGAACAGCGGTCTCCAGAATGAGAGTGTGTGTGTATCTGCAGGTGGTGATAACCTGACGGCCTCTGGTGCTGCTCTTTCAGGGAGCGACCGTCTCTTGCAGAAGAAGTGCTGGAGCAGAGCTGGTGACAGATACAGAGTGTCCACTGTGCCTTGTGTTGCAGGTAATGAGGAGATCGCTCGCTTCCTGCTGCAGAATGGAGCTGGATTCTCCTCATACACCCTGATAGACCATCCAGCCTTCAGCAAGCACCTCCTCAGACTCAACCTGCAGGAGACATCCAACAGAAGAGTAAAGGAGGTGTGTATTCAGTGATGCGTTTCTGAACCAATGAATGTGAGCCGGTCGGACGAGAAGACCAGTGTTAAAAGGATTTAAATCCAACATTGTTTCTCTTTCCTGTTTTCCTTTTGAGCCCATCTCTCAGAGAGCTCTGCGGGAGTTTGTCAAACCCAAGAGGCAGTGTGTCACTGTTGTGTTCTGCTATCTGTGTGTTTTAATCGTGCAACAACAATTACAACAATTTAGGAAACATGCAACATGTCACACCAAGTGTCTGTTGGAATAGATCAGCGTCTGACATCTCTGTGAGCTGCTCGTCCACGTGACGGTGGAAAACCATAGAGAATGACTGACACCCTGTAGTAGTTTTTTTTATTTTCATGCCATTAACTTCAGTCATCACAAACACATCAGTCTGATGCATGTTTAGCTTGTTTTTAGTTGAGGTGTGTGACACAGGTGAGTGAAGAGGTTCAGAGATGACCGAGAGTGTCGGGGATGTTGAAGAGTCAAAGACACAAACCTGATCATGTTAGAATCATACAATGATGTTAATAACCATCTTATGTTCAGTGTCATATCCTCAATATAATTCAGGCCATGATAAGACACAACAGGGACTAATGTGCTCATAAAGATTTTAATTAACAATCAATGTTGATTATATGATACAGAAGTTAAGTGAAGCTCAATAAAGTTACATTTACAATAAAGAAATTATATTTAAAAATAATATTCTATCAAACAAACTATAATGAAAGGATAAGTGCCCTCAGGGGCGCTGGTGGACGTCTTGCCTAGGGCTTCAAAATGACCAAAACACTGGTGCTTTGGATGGAAAGACATCAGAGTGTTATGAAATTACAAACAGGTGTAAAGAGTATTATTATGAGTTTTTACACTAACGTAAGCCGCCTGGCTTATATTCAGTGCCTGGTATATTTTGATGGTAAACGAGGATTTTCACATATGCAAACTGTTTTTAATTGTAAGAAAAGCTTTTGTTCTCATTAACTTGTTCTGCCTGTTTGGGACACAAAGTTAATTACCCACCACATGCAGAACAAATGTTTTTATTATTCTATTTATGTATTTGTTTAGTTGCTAGGGACAATGCATGTTAATGAACATCAGCACAAAATACATGATGTAAACATGCTGGATTGCAGCAAAAATGCTAATTTACCTGCGTAGTCCCCGGGCAGTCGACGTAAAACAAAAAAAACATTACGTTTGTCACAACACACTTCTACAAATATAAAGTACACAAACAAAAAGAGAGTAAAAATCATGTTGGGCACACTGGGTTGTGATGTCACTGCTGGTGGCTGCACTTTGTCACTGGGAAGCCATGTGCCATATTAGCTTGCCAGAGCTGACAGATCTGCTGTGGCTTGTAGTTTTAAAAATGTGACGACAAATTTACTTCTAAAAAGTAATTTTACAAGTTTTTTACCAAGTTTCTGTTTCTAAACACTAAAAATGTCCGTATATATACGCTGATCATGATATTGTGGTGATGAGTTTTCTCTACTGCTACTTTTAGTCAAAGTTGTTGGAGTCAGTCCTGGGTAAAACCTTTACTGTCCTCAGCCCTCTTAATGATACCATGCCCTGTGTGTATGTGTGTGCAGGCTGTCAGTGTGTGTTGGAGCGGTCTGCAGCTGCCCTGGTTAGAGCTGGACTGGTTCATGGATATCTCCTCACGTATCACCCACCTGGATCTGTCCTCCAACAGCCTGGCTGCTCTGCCCTCTGTGGTGCCCTGGGGTCTCATCCACCTGCAAACTCTGGATCTGTCTAACAACCTGCTGAAGGAGCTGCCGCCTGCCCACAGCTCCCAGGAGGTCATCTGCTCCAGGTACACATGGCAGCACGTTGAACGTTCGTTGGATGTGTTCAGCGAAGACACAAAAGACTATAACTGTTTGTGTGTTATTAGCTTGAGAACATTGTGTGTGTGTGTCTTTGTTTGTAACTTGGATGATCAGGTGCAGATGAGCAGATAATTCCAAAGGGTTCATGTACTTCTTCTTGTTGCTGTAGCTGCTTGTCTCTCAGTCTCCGTTTTTCCTCTCTGCTTCAGTTTACAGCAGGTGAATCTCTCTCAGAACCAGCTCTCCAGTTTACCACCTGGACTTCTCCATCTGACCCACATCCAGAAAATCGCTGCTGCCAAGAACCTGCTCGCAGTCCTGTTTGACATCCCTGCCAGTATGTTTCTCACTCTGTCGTAGTCAGTTGAAGTAGTTTTGATTTTGTCTGCTGAAGAGCTGTCAGGGTGACACTGAGTGTGGCAACACCCCTGACTTCAGCGTCAGTGAAGAGCTGACCTAACTTGAGTCTGTAGCTGGGTGTTTCAGATGCAGAGCAACCGCTGCACTTGGCATAAACCAGTACTGAAACCCAGCTGGAATCGATTATTTGACATTAGTCACCAAAACCTGCATCTGAAGTTGTGTTTCAGTCTGACTCAGTACTTCTACCGATAAAAAGCCTGTCTCTGTGCTGGTTTTCAGCTGGGTTCTACGACCCCCCACAATTACTATGGGGACACGAAATTGGCGGGAATTTAAAAAAAAAAAAACACACACATACAACGAAATTACAGTGTTTATGCTACAAACTGTATTTTTAAAATCAGATTTTTATCAAAATGTTTGTATCAATGATTTTTTGTAAAAACTGAAAAACAAAAACGACGAGTCCCAGCTGCATCACAACAGGCTGACACGGCTTCAGAGAAACACAACCTTCTTTTCTCTACATCAGGCAGGCATTAATGTAGCACATGGTATTTTGTGTTTTTAACTGGTGTCTTATATCTGGATATTTTATCTGGTGTTTTACCTTTGCTTCTATTCGATTCATTTCATTTGATTTTATTCATTTGATTGTGAAGCACTTTGCGACTAGTGTCTGTGAAAGTGCTGTATAAATAAACTTTTCTTGCTACTTTGCTAAACAGCTCGCAGGCCCCCTGTATACCAACATTCACAGCCTGTCAGTCCATTCTTTATTCTGCATGCAGGCATCAACCATTATATTTTAAATATCAACAAACCTGTGTCAACTTAAACTTAAAGTTTATGTCTTCAAATGTTTTGTCCAGCCAAAACTCCAAAACCCAAAAATATTTCATTTATAATGATATGAAAGAGAGAAAAGCAGGAAATCTTCTCATCATAGAGACGACCAGAGAATGTTTTTCATTTTTTTACATGAAAAGTTCTTTTACTAATGAATCAATTATCAATGTAAATTACTGTCGATCACTTAATCAATTCATTGGATCAGCACCAGTCTGTTTTTCCTTCTTCACTGCTTAATCAATACTTGCAGGTTATTACAGTTATTTAAATACTTTATGTCAAATAAATGGATGTTTCCATTGATGTATTAGGCAATAATTCTACCATTTAAAAACAGACTCAAACTGATGTAGAGTAAAACCAGCTGCATAGTCTTTTTGTCACTGATTTTCTTTGTACAGGTCTGATTCAGACTTGTGTTCTCTTATTCCAGCAACCAACTGGATCGGCCTTCGTAAGGTGGAGGAGCTGGACGTGTCTGATAACTGTCTGACCTGTCTGCCTACGGCTTTCATGCACTGTCTGAAATCCCTGAGCTTCCTCAACGTGTGCAGGAACAAACTGAGCACCTTCCCCGACCCCTGGGCGTGTCCACTGGTAAGAAACTACACTGATAATGATCTACTTCCTGTTTGTTACAGCTGCTACTTTTGGAGGATTTTTCTTTTGGTCAGAATGTTTCAGCTCTGCTTCATCTTGTATATTTATTATGTCAATATAATATATTAATATAATATTGATATATGTAAAGATATAAACTGCTTTGAAACTGATTGTTTTTTGAGGTTGTACTGTAATAAAAATATAATATATAATATAATTAAAAAGAAAAATGAGGCAGTGAATTAAAATGGCTGTTTCCACATATTAACATTAAGATGTTCCTCTGTATCTTCTTCTGCAGAAACAATGCAAAGCTTCCTCCAATGTGATTGAGAGTCTTCCAAACACCATCTCCATCTTCTGGAGGACGAAGCTGCAGGAGGTGGACTTCTCTGACAACAGCCTGAAGGAGCTGCCCTCATACATCTTTGAGCTGGAGGTAGGAACCAACATCTGGATCTGTTACTATACATCTGTATGTGCACCAAACTGGAGTGAAATTAATAGTTAAATATCTCTGGAATAAACAAAAATAAGTTTCTTAAAACACACATAACGTTGTCAGACTCCTGTGTGTGGTCTGTTAAACAGCCTCTAGATGGCGCTGCAGCTGTGTGCATGACCCCATGTTTACATTCTTCTTCTGAAGCTGAGAAGCACCAGGAGGTCGTACACGGTTGTATACAGAAATATTTTGCTCACTTTACCAACACATTGCACATTTTGTGATTTGATCATGGAGCTCTTTAATAACATTACAGATTTGTTCTTGTGCAGCTTGAGAAAGCACCAAGACGAGCAGAGAGATGCAAAATCCCATTTACAGAGGAATAAACTATGAGACAAAATTGTAAACAGTGGGCCTCATACAAGAAGCTCTCTTACAAACAGAATTTCATTCTTTCATGTCAGAGAATTTGTCATATTCATACTTGAATCTTTTTCTTAAACATGAATGAAGTGGTCCAAACCTGATGTACAAGTCATGTACAGATAATCTGTCTTTCTCCACAGCTGGAAAAACATTTGTTTGAATTCTAATAATATTTATAAATATGGCACATACTTCAACAACTGCAACTCTCCGCAGGTCGATTTCCAGTAAAACATTCCTGTGACAAAATGTAAGATCACCTCATCTTATGAACGTGCACAGACTCATGACCAGCTGACGTTCATGACGCTGAAACAAGCAGTTTCCAACAACTTTGTTTGGTTAAGAGTTTGCTGAATACACTGCGGAACAATGTTAGTTTCCTCAGTGGTTGGCTTCAGTGCTCCATGTTTGAGTCAAGCCTCAATAATATATAGATTCATTTATTTTTGATTTATTATTCCGGAGGATACCTTAAGATTGAAATCTCTCTTTCTTATGACCACTTCTGTCAACCCAACGTAGAAACAACGCAGAGAGAGTAAAGAATAAATGTATAACAACACACCTTTTTCTGGTGTGTATTTTTTCTGATAAGCAAAACCCAAACTCATCAGCCACTGGTTTCATCCTGACAGATATTTCACAACAAAAAGAATCCAGTGGTTAAATGATTCAATACCTGCATAGTGTCAAGGCCGGGTAGACGGACTCAGGAGCAGGGAAGGAGGCAGAGGCAGAGGTCAGGTAACAAGAGTGTTTATTGTGTAGGATGGTATGGCAGGGAGGCTGTTGCTGGCAGATGAAGGCGGAGAATGAGCTCTGGCTGGAGATGCTGGCTGGAGTCAGGGTGGAGGGTGTAGCTGGAATGCAGAAAAGAGAACAGGTTAGGTTTTGCAGGGCTAGGATTACAAGCTAGAGTACTGACAAAGATATGATGAGAGCTGGTGACGTCGACACTGCTACCTCAACAGGTAGCAGTGTCTATAATCCAGCGCTGACTGACTGTGGCCCAAGATCTTATGTAGTGTGGGTTGATGACCAGATGAGCAGCAGCTGAGAGGCCCCGACTCCAGCACAGCAGTCTCCCATCTGTAATCAGACTTTGAACACACAACTAGGGAGCAGGGGCAGAGGGCATGACACATAGACTTAAAAACCACACACTCATCCACAGCTCAGTGAATTTAGTCTGGCACAGGGACCATCTTCATTCCTTATGGGAGCTTCTGCTGCCTCAAAACGTTATTATAATGTCTGTGTTGTACTTTATTGGCTAGACTTGGCTGCTACTGATCGATATTTAGCTTTTGAACCATTAGAGAATCTCTTAGATTTGAAGCAGTGCTAATGCTAAAGCATAATTATTAGCTTGGAGCACCAGAGGTGATCTTATGGTCTCATCAGTTCACAGGAAAACTGACCCTTGACGCAGTGATGCTCTGTCCTTGTCTGTCCTTTTTAAAGGAAAATGCAGATGTGTGGTTTTCAGTGTCTCACCTCTGCTCTCTTCAGGCTCTGGTCTCACTGAAACTCTGCGGGAATCAGATTGTGACACTTCCAGCCCCCAATAAGTGGAAGTGCTCTCAGCTCAGGACCCTCGATCTTTCCAGGAATCAGCTTGGCAAGTAGGTCAATACACACGCACACGCACACGCACACACACACATGCACGCACACTGTCTGCAGGAGTCTGTCATTACTGAACAACTTCATGGAGCTCAGTAAACATCATGAGTAAAGAAGCCTGTGCAGTTTCATTGCACATCACAGTGACTGTCAGTTGGTCTGATTTGAGGAGAGTTTGATCCAGTCTAGGTTTGGGGTTTAATAAAATTCTATAGAATCTGAATCTAGTATCACATCTTATTGAATTCTATTAATTTTGAATATCTTATCAAATCAAATTTTCAGTAAAATCAAAGATTTTGATTACATGATGAGGCATAAACACGACAGTTTTAAGCTTTAGCCTAATTAATGTTGTGAACAGCTGAAGCCACTGATGTCGCTCACCTTATGTTTCACAAACTAGTTGATACAAATATTGGACATCTTGATTCAGAATTATAGAATTAAGTGGATCAGTTTCAAATATGAATATGATGTATAAAGGTTTAGCTGGAGATTCTAACGACTGAAACTAATATGATTGAGTCAGCTGGTGTTTGTCTTATTGAACAGTGTAGAGTCTCTCTTTTCTAATCTGAAGACCACCTGACATGGTCTTCTGCTGTTGTAGCTCGTCCAACATGTTGTTCACTCTGAAGAGTGGTTATCTGAGTGACTATAGTCTTTCTGTCAGCTCCAGTCTGTCCAGTCTGATGTGTTGTGGGATTTTATTCATTGAACCGTTATCTGCAGGATTTTATTCATTGAACTGCTGCCACATGATTGGCTGATTGGACAATTGCATGAATAAGCAGGTGTACAGGAAGTGCTCTCTGTGTGTATTTATCACACCGGGTTCAAGGTGGAGTTCTTCCCTCTCTTTTACGTTTGTTTCTTGTTTGTCAGGAATCCTGGAACGTCTATAGATATTTCTAGACACTTGTATGAGCTCCTGTCATTCCTTCTCATCACTGTTGTACTTGGCATCAGTTGATTTCTCTCTGTATTTCAAATGTTGTCTTTTAGAACAGAGGAGGGGCCCAAATCCAGGAGGCTGGCCTTCCTAACTACATGGAACAGGAGGGACCCAGACCCAGGTAGATCTGCTTACATACATGGAAATCATTTGAACCTAAATACAAATAGACATAAAGATGCGAACCCAGCTACTGATAATGTGGACTTTGGAGATGATGTCAGGACTGTAGGGTCAGCGTGAAATATTCTCTCTGCCTGCCTGTCATTCTGTCACTCAGTAAGATCTGGCGATTGCAACAATTCAGTCATTTCCCAGCATTATTTTTGTTAAAGTGTAGACCACACCAGGATATTCAGGCTTTAACTTCTGCTTCTCCTGCAATCATGCCTCCTCCGCCAGAGACATATTGTTTTCAGGTTGTCCAACAGTTCATTCCATTTCCGTGGACACGATATCTCAGTGACGCCTTGAGGGAACTTCACATTTGGCACAAACGTTCAGTTGGACTCTAAGATGAACTGATTTAGATTTTGCTGTTCACAGGTCAAAGGTCAATATCGGTGTGACCGCACAAAGCACTTTCTAGCTATTTCTCAAGACTTCACACAAAAATTATGACAAAATTTCACACAAATGGTTCTTATTTTCTATTACTCCGGGTAAACAGGGATGTAACCTGGAACTAGTCTGAGTGGCGGAGGCAGACAACCACCAGGTGGTAATCACAACATTTTTAGTTCGTTCTTCTTTTATGTCTCCACTTATCAGGATCTGTTTTCACAATCTTTTGCATTATGTAATTACTTTGTTAACACTATTGTAGTTTTAATCAAAATCATCCACACCAAATTTGTGTATTTATAATTTGTATACATTTAGAAACATTGTGCTCAATTTTCATGGATGTCGGAAACATCGCATTCGAACGTGAACGTGAAGTAACTGACGGCGTGCAGAAAAATGTGTTGCAGAGCAGTTTTTTTTTTCTGTCTCATAAACCATCCTGTGACATCTTCTTGGTTGTCAATGCTCTCAGACACAGCTCTCTCGCAACCTCTGCATGACTGCCAACAAACAAAGCACTTCCAACCTCCCACATGAACTGAATCATCTCTGACCCCGTTCCTCAAACTAGCCTTTTGATATATGGAGCTTGTTGCCAGTAAACACAGCCCCACCTCTCGGGGAACAATAAGTCCCTATGGTTGCTCAACCACTTGAGAAGCTATCTGCTATCACACTACCTGTTGTTGAGTGTTACAGTATACTCTCACACTCGTATACAAAGAATTTCTGCAATACCAAAGAAGACCAGCATGGGTAAATCCATCTCTGATATAATGGAAACGATGCAGTTTGATTTAAGACTTATAATTTATTTGTATTAATATTACATAATGTTAGAGGATGTGCGTCCTGCCAAGAATCCAGTTCTGTGGAATCTGCTGATTACTTGTTATGTTTCTTTCGAAATGTCTAAAGCTCAGATCAAGTAATCATACATACTTACATTCTAATAAACCGTATCTACTTGTGTGTTTGAGAATACATGCTGTGACCCATCATGAATGAAACTGTGTTGGCAGTGTGTCCCATAGAGTTTCCCATGATTCTGCGGGATTCACTGGAAGTGCTTTACTTGAATGACAACCAGCTGGAGTGTGTTCCCCACTCGGTATGTGGTCTGCACAGCCTCACCGAGCTCTACCTCTCCAAGTGAGTCCCACTGCCTCTGCGCCAACCTTCACCTGTCCTCCCTCTGTCACACTGATAACACTGGTGTAATGTTTGTCCAGCTACAATCCCCAGATCTGTTTTCTCACCTCTACTGTCACTGACAAATGATGTGTCGGCGGGGCAGTGCAGTTAGTCAGATTTTTCTGTAGGGGGCAGTCTTGTCTCTCTCAGTGCTAAAGATAAAGATGTAAAATAAACCAGTGTCTGGGTGTTAGAAAATTTTCCCATACACAAGATTCACAGTAACAGACACCAGGGGCTCAACATTTCCTAGAAGGAAACTACAACTTTATGAGGCATTTTTTTTTCCCAAATCCAGACTCTTACAAATCCATGATTTAATCTTCTTATCTCCTATTATCTCACTAAGCTTCCAATGCCATCTGATTTACTAGCACCCTAAATTAAATTGTGCCAGTTGTAATGAAATACATCTTGAGTTTAATAAATATCCTCTCTATTTGTATGGCAAAGTGCAGCTAATTTTCACCACTTGCACTGTTGGTAAATTGTGTATTCCCATGTACAGTATTGAATTTAGATGGTTACAAGTCACAGAAATCAAAAACCATCATGTATTTAATTTTAAATCAAATAACCACATCATCGGTTTCCAATAAAAATCAGTTGCAGTGTTATTGTTTTTTCAGCTTTACACACAGAGGAGCAGTTTCTAACGTTATTTTACCATGAAAAGTAAAATGTTGAAAGTCAGTTCAACTTCTGAAAAGAAAACAAATAATTATGTAAAAGAATTACAACTCTTCTTGGGTTTGACAGAGAAATCAGTCCAGTCACTGGGAACCACTGCTCGGTATGCGGTCAGTCCTTCTGCTACAGCTGTTTGCAGCTGTTTTATACAAACAGCAAATTGTTCAGTTCTCACACACGTCATGGATCCACATTTCCTGTCGCTGCCAAAAAACAACATATCCATCTGGCTGTCACTAATAACGGGGTTTAGGAACCCTCAGGGGCTCTTTCATTAAAAATCCATGAAATTAATAATAATTTAACTAATGAAGTTATTCAAAACTGACTTAAGCAGCTTTGAACATCCTGTCTTTTATGCGAATTGTTGACCCCTGTTCTCACCTGCTCTGGGGACAGTAATCCTGGAATCCGGGAGCTCCCAGCAGAGCTCGGTCAGCTCTCGAACCTGTGGCAGCTGGACACTGAAGACCTCAACATCACTAATGTTCCCCAGGAAGTAAGAAAAGAAGGTACTGTCCAACTGTACATTGTGTTGCTGACGTAAGTAGGAGGAATAGTAAGGAGGGGATTTACCGCTCAAGAGACTGTAACTGAAAGTACTGTAAGTCAGACCACTGACGCTTCATATTAACTTCAGATAAACTTATTATTTGTACACTGAGGATTTTTGTCCTCCGCCTCTTTAGTGCCGGTTTGAACAGGAGGAAGGTTAACGGCAAACAAACCCTGTTTCGTTGTTCAAATGGGCATCTGACTATTGTTTTAAGATAGACATGGAAAAACAGTGGAGCCATCCATTAAAGAAAAACTTTAGTTTACAGTCTTTGACATGGGTTTTACTATAGTGGCTCAGGCCATCATTTCTGTACTCACCATGTTAATCCAGTAGCTCAGACCTGGGAGCATGGTAACAGTCTCACATAAAGTAAGAAACAGACGAAGCATAAGCAGTCAGTTTATACCGGGTTATCACTTTATTTGGGGTCAAACTGAAAGTGAGCACACCTGAAAAGCTGCTAACAATCCCTCTATGTACAAGATAATTATAGGCTCAGCTACATTAAGCACAGTAGGTCAGAGTTGAATTAGGAAGTGGGTCTGCAAAGTGTGACGGATACAGATAATTTTTCAACATTGTTTTCTGAAGTGAGTCTAAGCTACAGGCTTGTTTCAAACCTGTCTGATGTGTTTGATGACCTGTGTCTCACTTTATGGTTGTCGGGCAGTTTAATCTGAAACATCTGTAATATTACAAATAATCAGGTATCTCCATGAGATACATGTAAAGGAGGGTAAATTGCATTTTTCTCTGAAATGCAGTGTAGACAGTACACTGCATTGTACTGCAAGTATAAAATGGAAATGCCCATGAGATGTACAAGTATGTAAACATGAGTAAATGTCCTTGAGTAAATGTTAAGTACAATGTACTGGTTGGTTTCAGTGGTGGCACCTGTCCGTAGTTTAATAGGTAATGGGTAATGTAGTTTCCAACAACATGAAAACCAAATGTGGACCTTTGTGGTTTTTTCAGGTCCTGCATCTGTCCTGGCTTTCCTCCGGGCACACCTTCGAAAGGCAGAGCCGTGTAAACTTCTGAAGATGCTTGTGATTGGTCCACCGAGGCAGGGGAAGACGGCCCTGCTGGAGACTCTACAGACTGGCAGGGCGTCCGCCTTCACCCCAGCAGAGTGCAGCATCTCCACCTCCACCTGGGAGCTGGAGAAACCCAACAGCGGCAAAAACAGCGTGAGAAAAACACAAACAGCACAGACGTATACTCTGTATTTAATGTGCACACACATGCACAAGAGATTTTAATGTGAACAGTTTTCCGAGAACAATACCGATGAAAAGAGAACTGGGTTGTGTTGGGGTGCATCTCTAAGGTTCTACTGTGGTTTTCTAGGTCAGAAATCAAACAGACTGGACAGTACTCAAATCAATTCCAAATGAAATCAGTTAGTCAGCCCTTTTGCCATTTTGGCAAAAAATCATGTCAAAGGGATTTTAACCATACTAGCAGCGTGGTGCTATGGAGGGCAGTGTTGGTTTATCTGATAGTCAGTTGGTCAGTCGATCATCACTTCATAATCCCCTGACATTTCATCAAGGGCCATAATAATATCAACATGTTAATTTGTCTGAAACCTTGGTTTAAGTCTAAATAGCTGCAAAATGAGTCACACTCCTATCAGCCTCATGTGCACTTTGTGGTAAATGTTAGTATTCAAGCTCATTCTAACATGGTGAACATTAAGAAACAAACAAACTGCTCACACACTGCAGGCCTCCAACTGTCACTTATTTATTGCACAAAAAAAAAAAAAAAACAGCGATGAAAACATTTGTTTGTTTCTTTATTTGCTTGTTTTTCGTCCCGGCACCCACCTCCTTCTTTGGCTTGGCTGCACTCGTATTTATCTAGTTTGAACATGGTAAACATACCTGCTAAACAATTGTATGCTGGTAGTTAGTGTCACTTTGAGCATGTTAACGTACTGATGTTAGTTTTTAGCTCCAAGCGCCGATATACCTGAGTACAGCCACACAGAGCTGCTAGCTTCGCTTCAGACTTTAAGTCGTGTTAATTTTAATGTATTTACTGACTGAATGGATGTATCGTATCAAACTCACAAAAGTCCCACTAAATATTCAGTGGTTCATTTTGGGCCAACACTAGCCCACAGCTGTCAATATGCGGACACGCTTCTGGCCGACTACTACTCTCACACTGAGGCACTGAGTGGTTTTCTTTCGAGCTAGTGCTATCTTGATTTTCATAACTTACATACGGTAGCTTTAATGTGAAAACTAATGGTGTTGTTTTATCCAGGTTTTCAGGTGTGAGGCAGAGTGAAAGGAATTGAATTTGTGGTGCTCCCTGCATAGAAAATTTACATTAAAAAAAATTCAACAGCAATACTTCCTTCCAGAAACAGTGTATCTGTTCCTGTGGATAATCCAGGAAACACGTTGTCAACAGTTTTATAGGGATTACTGTCCCATCCAATAAAAACTATTCAGAGTGAGCTTTCTGTTGGAAACAGTACTGAATTTAGGGAGTGGATCTAATAATAACTTTTTCATATTTTCTGAAGACTGAGTCACCTCAGACTGTTTTTTTTTGTTGCTGACACATCACATATTTGCTTTCCAGACCCCTAAGTTCACTCAGCTCTCGTCCTGTTACACACAGAAGGACTCAGTGGCGTTCAACGTGTGGGACATTGGTGGTCAAGCCAGCATGTCCACAGTGAACCAGTGTTTCTTCACTGATAAGGCCCTGTATGTGGTGATCTGGAACCTGGCTCTGGGAGAGGAGGCTGTGGCCAGCCTGCAGACATGGTTGCTCAACATCGAGGTGAAATTTAGCTCTCTCTCCCTCAAACTCACCAGACACACACACACACACACACACACAGACACACACAGACACACAGACATACTCCTGCAGACCAGACCGACTGAGCACCTGGTTCCAGCTGTACTTGAGTGTGAGTGGGTCAGAGAATGAAGGGTGTGACTGTGTGAACCAGACAGTCGTCAGTGAGATGGTTTTGGTGTTTCCAGTGGGAGGGAGGGGTGATCTGATTTAAAGGGAAATGATTTGGTTGTCTGACCACAAACCAGCCACAGACTGATTAATTGAAGCATGATGATATGGAACATGTTGAAACTGCTTGCATCATTTCACTGAAACGGTTCATAGAATCCTAATTACTAACTGATATTTAGTAATGCCTTCCATTTGCTTTCCTCTGATTAATAGGGTTCGTTTACAGTATTAGTTATGCCTGGATTTGTTTTAGAGGCTGACCAGAGTCAAAGCTGTAACTTTATCCTTTGAGTTTTGTCATTGTGAGTCTCACTTTTACACGATCCTGTCAGTTTGTCAGGATCTCAGTGCTTTCCTCTGCCTCCATTTCACACCACATACACATGTCTGCAGGAACATATTTTCAGTGCGGGGGCTGCCCTGGATAAAATGACATTTTACATGCCATAAACAACTGACAGATGTAGCACATTTTCTGTGGTTAAATCTGAAACTTGTGTGGAATTATATCACAGCGGGATGAACAGTGTTATCCTTGTCATCGTGGATCTCGTCCTCATAAACCTGCTGTAAGGTTTTGAGTTTATTCTTGTGGACCCACAAAGCCCAGCTAGACAGACACACAGACACAGAAACAGACTGGGGACAAACAAAACACATTAGGGAGGGGAAAACAAGGGGAGAGCAACAGATTTAACACAAACAGGTTTAACACTAATGCGCTGAAGACCACTTACTTAGTGGATTTTATTCAAAATGGTATTAATGATGCGTCATGTGTCAGATAGATGTCGACCCTGTCTGTCTCATTTGACTGTCAGTGCCTGTCAGTACTTCAGTTCAGCAGTCAACTGACGCTCTTGTCTCCTCCGCATCGTTATGAAGTCTCATGATCTGGTTTCTTACTTGTTCAGGCAGTCCCTCACCAAGTGGAACCGTGTTGTATTAATAAACACAGCCCAGGACAGAAGTGAGGAAGCTGTGGTGTTCACAGGTTTTCTTTTATAACCTTGCTCATGCAATTAGCCTTAATTGGAAATCACAGATGTAATCAACTTTGTTCCAGGTAAACTGACTGAATGTTTTGCTTATCTGTACACACTAACTCCTGTGTCCTGTAGGCACGAGCACCCAACTCTGCAGTGGTGGTTGTGGGAACACATTTGGATCTGATCGACACCAAGTTTCGCACTGAGAGACTGGCCACGCTCAGAGCTTATATCCTGGCTCTGTGCAGATCCCCGTCAGGCGCTCGAGCCACCGGCTACCCTGACATCACCTGGAAACACCTGCAGTAAAAACATATTTTACATTTTATTCTTTGTTGTTTTTTTTTTTTTTATATTGATAAAAATTAGCTGCAGTGTTTGCATATGAATCATTTGAGTGTGTCACTAGTATCAGCCTCACAGAACAGCTGTTAGACCGTAGAGTGTATTCAAATGTGTGTGTGTGTGTGTGTCTTGGTTTTCAGTGAAGTGTCCTGTAAGACCCTGGAGGGTTTGGAAGGGCTGAAGAAGCTGATCTACCAGGTGGCTCTCTCCATGAAGGACAGCAGCAGCTCGGCGTGTGGCAGTAAATTACTGGGCAGACTGGTGAGTGAGGCCAGTGAAGCTCTGCACTGTGTCTCTACTGTGACAACTACAACTGTGCTTTTATCTCCCTCTCCACCTCTGCATGTTTTATATCAGTTTATCAGACACTTTAAACATTATAGTCACGCAACAGTAATTATCAAAATACAACACAATCACCTTCATGTCTCTACAATTACGCCAGCACCAAGCAATGGGTTGCTGTTGTGGATGTGAGCAAACACAAAATGTAATCTTAAGGTTAGTTCCTGGAACTATTTGGTCCAAAGATTAGTTTAGATCACAAACCTGTCAAAACGATCAAGTACGTCTAATCCTCTGTATGTTATTCTAAAGCACAGGCAGATTTTCAGCTTTGCCTCCTCCACCAGATCCCCAGGAGTTATCTGACACTCCAGGAAGCAGTGATAGCAGAGAAGCAGAGGAGAGATGCTGAGAATGACGTCCAATATCTAACTGATGCCCAGCTGGACCGTGTCATTGAACAGAACCCAGGAAGTGACATCAGAGACTATGAGGACCTACAGACTGGTAACGTTACACCATGAAAAATGTGAAAATGATTTGTTTGACTTGTCAAACCCTTCAAAATACCTGGAACCATTTACTTGTAAAAAGAAATGTCTTTACAGTTTTCATTTGACAAAGATTCCCATTTACTCTGGGGAAACGACCACAAAACACCTGTGGACATCTGTGTGTTTGTCATTGATTGGGCTAAAGAGGAACCACACCCAGGTGCATCGTTGCCGTGGGGGACAGGGAGTCACATTCCCCCCCAATATATTGGGGGCCCTCCAAATATTTATAATTTCTCTATTCTTTATTTCTCATTGAATATTACTCGCTTACATTACTAATTACTCAGCAAAAGTAATGGATTACATTACTTATTACTTTGGTTACACAGTTGTCAGCTCCAATAAACGTGTCTTCAAACAAATCCTGACCTCAGAAGCATGTTTACATACGCTTCAAAACTACGTGACTCCTGAATGTATGTGTACCCGTAGCTAACATTAGCAAGCCAGCCAAGAGACATTTAAAGTCTTATGGTAGATTCTGCCGGCCTTCCCCCACCTCGAACTCATGCACCAAGCTACCATGTCCCTGACCGACCCCTGTCTAAGTCCTGGTAACACCAAAGACTGTTGGAGAACAAGCTGAATCCTAAATATTGAAGGAACACAGTGTTACTGGGATCAGTAACTGTAATTGTTATCACTATGTCATTTGAATCCCATACACTACTCACTAATTCATAAAGTAATCACATCACTGTAACACTTTAGTAAGTACTATGTTACTTCCAACACCATTGACCAGTCACACCATCAGATCCAGAAGCTGACAGAAAGCTTGTTGCTCTGAATTATTAATAATATATAATATGTATTAATAATATATTTACTGAACATTCAAAATGAAGTTACTGGTTGTACCTAATACTGAAAATACAAAGACATACAAAGTGTTTAGGTACAAAACAAGCTCTTATACGGATTTCGTGCCATTTGTGCATATTTGGATGCAATGAGGAGGCTGAGTGACCAGTAAGGTGACTGTCTGTCTATATAAGGAGCCAAGCCGACCTGCTGATTCTACTGGTGTGGCAGAATATTCCCCTCATTTCCCAGATTAGCAGCATTGACCATTAGTTAAGAAGGAACACCTTGCATATGGCTCTTCTCTTTTTTGCACATCCAGCCATTAGCTTCTTGATAGAGACGGGGACCCTGCTTCACTTCCCGGACACCAGCCATGGTCTGTGTACCCTCTATTTCCTGTGTCCCGTGTGGCTGTCAGAATGCCTGGAGAGGATCATACACCTCAAGTCATCTCGCTCTGTAGCCAGGAATGGAGTGATTCGAGCTGAAGACCTCAGGGTGAGACCCAGGGAGCAACTGGAAAGACCAGCAGCTGAAATATCAGAGACAAAGTTTGGGCTTTGCTAGTTGTTTGTGTGTTAAGGATTCCTGACTTCCTCCTCCTTCTTTGATGTTGTTTGTTGTGCAGATGCTGTTGGTAGGAACGGGGTTCACCCAGCAGACAGAGGAACAGTATTTCCAGTTTCTAGCCAAGTTTGAGATCGCTCTGCCTGTGGCCAACAACAGGTAAAATATTGTCTATATACAGATCGATACTATATTTATACTTTTTTTTTTTAATATGTGTTCTTTCTCCACAAAGCACACATGTCACTATCCAAGTAGAAAGCCAAGATTTCTCCATTTTTCCACTGCAACTAGCCAGAATCACCATAGCAGTCATCCCAACCACCTTAGCAACAACCTAGCAACACTCGGGCAACTACCTTGCACCTTAACAACTGCCTAGCAACCACCTTATGATGCCCTACTAAACACCCATAAAACACAAGCAGCTGCCTGGAAAGCCATAGCAACCACTTAGCAACCAAATAAAAATGACTAGTAACCATCACACAGACCCAACTAAAAACCTAAAAAAGTAGCAATGCCAATGTTAACTCTTGTCTCTATCATGCCTTTTCTTCCACTGAAGTTAGCATGCTAACCAGCTAGCCCTGGCTCATCTCCTCGCTTTCTGATAGCGGCTCATTGTAGCCTCCAATATGCCCTGAAGATGTAGTGCTGCTCAGAGGACGTCTTGTGAATGCAACAATGGCTGAAGCTCTTGTCAAGTGACAATCACCACCACCCGCTCCCTGCAAAAAACCACATTCGGCGGCAGATAAAAATTTCAAATAGCCCTTTTAAAGTATAAAGTATTAGCTAATGTGACAAAAACATTTCTGGTACTAGCGTCAAGCAGAAAGCATACCTAAAGTTTCCTCCTTTCCTCTCTCTGTAGCTATCTTCTGCCTCATCTCCTTCCTCCCAAGCCAGCGATGGACATCCATGGTTTCCGCCAGCAGTTCAACAACACCCTACAACGTCTTTTCAAGATGAGCTTTGTTCCTGCTGGATTTTGGGAGCGCTTCATTGCCAGGATGCTCATCAGCCTCACAGAGATGGACCTGCAGGTACTGAAACCAGCAGATTCTTATCATTCACCTGTCATGCTTTCACATTTTCAGGGCTTTACATTTACAGCCTGACACGTTGTGTTTGTGCAGTCGTTTGAGCTCAAAAGAAATACCAGGAGCCAGCACAGCAGAAGCTCTGTGATCTACAGCTTTGCTGGAACCCAGCAGAGGAACCGATGCAGCACCTTCAGAGTCCGACGCAGCCAGACCATCTACTGGAAGGAGGGGCTGCTGGTCACGTTTGATGGAGGTTATCTCAGGTCAGAGCTCGGGCTGGAAGGATACGGGCAGTAATTAAAGGAGCCAGACTAAGTAGACTTGAGTCAAAAACCTGTGGAGGCAAACAGCAGGTCAGAACTAATACTCAGTCAACTTCAAGGGGCATTCTAGTTCACAGGAAGTGGGTGGGTTTGTATGTTCCATAGTTGAACGTGGACTTCACAGGGGATTTCTGTCTTCCTGAGAATAAACAATAAGAAGAAGAAGTAATCTTTGCTCAGAATTTGCACCATATATGGTACTGTGTGTTTATATCTTAAGTCTGCTGATATTATTATATTATTTACCTTCATTTTCAAGTCGTGGTATTTTCATTTCATTGCTAGTAGTTCCAGTTATTCAGCAATTTCGACACAAAAGCTTTAATATCTTTAATACAGATAGAGGAGATTATTTTCCAGTGATGCTAACCTGCCATATCTGTCACAGCAGTCTTAGTCTTATTTGATTTAATCTGAAGCATAATGTATAAAATGAGAATTTAACACGGAAACTTAGGTATTTCTAGTGAAAAGAAAATCTGAATTAAATGCACCTGCTAAAAGGAAAGAGAGAATTAACGTCGAACAGCCGGCTCCTGCAGCTGCTCAACATCAGCTGAATTGTGACATGCTGAAAACAGATTAACCTTCCACTGAAATGAGGCGGTGACATATGTTTGTGTCTCTGCAGCGTGGAATCATCAGATGTCAACTGGAAGCGGAAGAAGAGCGGAGGCATAAAGATCATCTGCCAGTCAGAGATGAGAGATTTCTCTGCCATGGCCTTCATCACAGACCACGTGAACTCCCTGATCGAGCAGTGGTTCCCTGGTCAGTGCATGGCTCTCTGTTTATGTGGGGACAGTCAGCTCTCAATACTCAGATTTTTGTTGCATGTTCCATTTGAACTAGGAAATCAGAAAAATCAGGAAGCATATCAGTCTAAACATTAGCCACATGTTAGCACGCTAACCAGACAGCCCGGCCCACTTCGTCACTGAAGATGTAGCGCTGCTCAGAGGACGTATTATAACCTCTTGTCTTGTGAACACAGTGATAGCTGAAGCTCTTATCAATCACCAAAACCTGCTCCTGGCAAGAAATCATGTTTGGTTGCAGATAAAACTTACAAATAGCCCTGTTAAGCTGCTAAATGCTCCACTTTGTTTGGTGCTGGAGCGGGGGACAGTTTGTTTATCAGATATTTTTTACTGAGAACAGCTGCCTGCTGCTGTGATTGATCAGAGCGCTCAGACTGAACCAAAACAATGAGCTAAAAGACGCTAAAAAGCTCTGCAGAATTGGGAAACTACAGAGTTGTTTGTGATTCTTTGTGGGTTTATCACTAGCAACACGAAACAGTTATCTGATCTACTGTTGATTAAAATAAATATGACTTGTTGCAGCTTTAAAGCACAACTACTATTTAAACAGACATGCAGACCAGCAGTCACTTGGACACACACACATACAGAGATTGTTTCACAAAAGTAGAGACTGCTACATGACTCAGGGTCACTGTTACTCACTCAGTCACAGGAAGGGTTTTGTGTGTGTATGTGTGGGAGACGTCATTACTGGCAGTATGGACACGTGTTTTTCTAGCAGATGTTTCATATCCAGAGCTTTCTATCAAACACTGAAATATTTACATTGTACATTAATTTGGACCATTTCTGTACAAACTATTTTTATTTTAATGAAACTGAAAGATGAAACGGACAAAAAAAACAAATCACCTGGTGCACACTGCCGGTATGTGATCCAGCCTCGGACTGTGAGGACTGCTTCCTCTTGATTAGTCATTTTTATGCCTCCGCTCCAGCAACAATCAGGGAGGAGGCATTATGTTTTCAGATTGACTGTCCCATTCCAATGAACACAATATCTCACTAACCTGTCAAGGGAATTTACTCCGGAAAGAGAGAGTGACCATATTTCTTGAAACTTGACTGGTTGGTGGAGTCATACAATTCCAATAATTCTAGTTTGACACAGAGATGTAATAATCAAAAAGCAAATATACATATACACATTATTATACTAATATTTATAATGTACAGTATCGTAAAAGGACACTAGACTCCATTAAAGGTTTTAAGGAACACTGAGCCATGTTTATCGGTGTAAATTAGTGAAAGGGATAAAGATCTTTGTATTCGGTCCACTATTGGGCAAGACAGTTGACCCAAAAACCATTACACAGCTGCTGCAACACAAAAACAGTTAGTGTGCGTCAGACCAGGTCCAGTAAAAGTGCTTATTCACAGCGGACCAGCAACTCCTGTGTTCTGTGAGGTAAAAAATGACTGTTTTTGACAATGGAGTCTGGTGCCTTTGAACAGAGCGATACAACAGCTGTTTCTGGTTAAACAATCAGGATCTTACTCTTTAACAAAAAGGTCTGTCTCTATAGGAATCTTATCCAGAATGTTGTCACACACATATAATTATAACCTGAACCTGTCAATCGTAAAATCAAGAGAGTTTTAGTGGACGTACTTTGACGTAGACAAATGCATCGTTTGATTACTTGACTCTTGTAGACAGGCACCTGTTTCCAAATCAAATCAAAGATGGCAGCCTGCTGGCTACCTGGATATGAGACAGTGCCACAACTTGGGAAACAAGTTAAAAATATTTTTTATTGCACCTCGCAGATGTAATTTCACCAAGTAATACCCTGCAGGACTACCACAGAGCTCAGGTTACCACAAAAGTGTTGAGGTCCAGGCCTGGGACTCAAACCCACAAGAGCATGCACGAGTTCCACATGAAGGCTCACCTTCTGAACAGCCTGAGGTCGTCCTCAGCGGATGTGATGAACTGCAATGACATCCAAAAAAAAGAAGGAAGACCTGTGTAGACAAAGGAAGTCCAACAGAGGGAAGCAGCACACCACACATGTAACCTTTGAATAAAATGTCCCATTTAAAAATTTATTGAATAGACTGGCTGATTGGCTGCACCATGCTTAATCTGGAGCGCACACAGATATGTATACCATATTGTCAAATTTGAAATATATTTTAATGAGTAAATAAAATAGAAATATTTCACAGCGCCCCCTATGGATTGAGTTACACCATACTTTCTTCTTGTGCAGTTTGGAGCTTGTTTGGGTGAGATATGTTTTTGTGAACATGATACATGATTCTGACACTATACTACATTATACCATTAGAAAAGACAGTCATGTGGCCAAAGTACAAAATCAACAATGTATTGTTGTTATTATTATTTATTTGTCATTATAACCTGGAAAAGCCATTCACTTGAATTAGAGTAGTAATTGAGTGGTAATCTTGAGACTGAGACTGGTCCAACCCTGTGTACCAATCTGATATGCAACAAGTCTAAATCATGTACATGTGCTGTCTCTGTGTCTTCACCTGCAGCTTTGACAGCCAGTGAAAGCGATGGGAGTCTCCTCATAGAGCAGTACGCCCCCTGTCCTCTCTGTGTCTCGCGTGGTCAACAGAAGCAGACCAAGCTCCTAGCTAGCCGGCCCGGCCAGAGTGGAGAGAGAGGAAATCGTGGAGGAGATGATGGAGGAGGAGGCGAAGCAGGGGTCCATTACTTTAACATGGAGGACTGTGTGCTGGCTGCAGTGGAGAAGGAGTACATCATTTGTCCTCAGCATCCTGACCAGCCAGTCCCCCTCCAGGAGCTGGTCCCAGAGCTCTTCATGACTGACTTCCCTGCACGGTAACCTCTCACCATTTAACCGACCATTTTATTTTACCTCTGCCAGGGCTGCACACTCCACCAAATCTGTCAGAAGACATATGTGGTTCAGTACAATTTCAGAAGTTTCGGCCATTGTTTCTATCAGGTATAATAATAATATTAATAAACTTTATCTATAGAGAACTTTTCATACAAGACATGTAGCTCAAAGTGCTTTACAATAAGAAATAAGATAGTACAATGATAAAGATGTAAATGGGAAAAAAACAGAAACCGGTAAGAATAGAAATATGAGATAATGAATTAAAAGCCAAATTAAATAAATAGAGTTTCAGATGTCACTTAAAAATGTTCACAGAGCCCTCATCTCTTACAGCTCTTGGCAGGCTATTCCATAGTTTTGTAGCGTAGTTAAAAAACCTGCACAGCCTCTTTTCTTGTGCATAAAATTGTGTTTATTTTAAAGCCTGGCAGTAGAGGACCTAAGAGCTTGTGAAGGACTATTAAATGACATAGAATCTGCAATGTAAGCTGGTCCCAAACCATTAAGAGCTTTAAAAACCAGTAAAAGGACCTTAAAATCTATTCTAAAAGATACTGGGAGCCAGTGGAGTGAAGCTTAAACCGGGATAATATGACAGGAACGGCCATACCTTTGCAATATTTATGTGTATATATATGATAACAGTATTGACCCCAACATAATACCTGAGAAAACTTGTCAGGACTCAGGTGGGAAAACTATCTAATGGAGACAATTTTTCACCTCAATAACATTTCTTGTTGCATGTGACGTTTCTGATATTGGCTGGGCTTAAAACATCCATGTGTCTTGTATGTAGTGTGGAAACAGGATGTAGCAGCAGCGTGTGTGTGTTTGTGTGTTAACAGCACAGAGACCACAGAAGCTGTTAATAACTAAATGTCCATCAGCTATGTATAGCCAGCTCCAGTTAAGGTTGCCATGGTGATGGTAGCTCCTTTCCCCCTGAGTTAGGCACAGACTTTAGTGAGATTTGGCTCGACTTACCTCTCAAACTCCTGCTATTCAGTCAAAAACCATAACTCCCATCACCAAAGCTTTTACGGCGTGAGTGCGTCTGTGGCTCAGGAGGTAAAGCAGGTCGTCCGCTAACAGGAAGGCCAGTGGTTCAGGCGAGATCCTGAACACCAAATTGCCTCTGATGGCTGTTCCCTCAGTATACTGTATGTGTGTAAATGGGTGAATGTGGCAGGTAGTGCAAAGTGTTTTGAGCGGTCGATAAAAGTGCTGTATAAGTGCAGTCCATTTACCATTTACAAGACTTTGCTGTACACATCTGTGCAATTTTGTGTTCCTGGTGTCAAACGTGTGCAGTCTATGGTGTTCCTGTCACTCAGAGGCTCATGGAGCAAGATGTGTGGGTCTGTTTGCTTAGTTACATTGTGTGAAAGAATACAGATTTTCCTACTGTACGTTCTGCCAAAAAATTATGTGTGAGGAGTAAAATTGTTTAGAACAGATTAACACCTTCTCCCACTTTAGCCTCTGAACACTGTCCTTTCATTTCTGCAGAAGAGAAATTGCAGACAAAATGTTGAATAGATTCTTGAGATTGAGAGTCATCTTTTCATTCAGTATTTTGGTAAACATAATTGTGTTCATAGAACCTATTAATGTAATCTCCTTTTAAACCTTTTGTAGTTATGCAGCTCATATCAGTAAACTCCCCCCTCCCTGTTTCACAGTCAGCACTGTGCAATCACTGTGGTAATCCTGGCCTGGTCCACACTAAACATGCCGGACCCCATCTGATCCAGACAAATTTATCTTGGTGTCATCTGACCAAAGAATGTGCTGCCAATGTTCACTAGGTTTCTTTTCATGTTCTTTGGCAAAGTTAAATCTTGAACTAAGACGCAGCAGCAGCAGCAGCAGCAGCAGCAGCAGCAGCAGCAGCAGCAGCAGCAGTAGTAGATCTGAGTGCAGACAAACCGTTTTGAGGAGGAGTAGAGAAAATCTGCCCTGGAGCAGGGAGAGGAGGAGAAAAGGAGGAAGGGGTTTGAGGGAAAGCATTATAAAATCTGAACATGAAGTGAAGAAATAATGCCCGCAAAATGAAAGACCAAGCGTTTCACTAAAGAAAGAAACTCCATATCACACCCGGTCACTGGACCTCAGACTGTTGGTCCCTCCACCAGACACATTCCACAGGAGCTGGATGATTCACACAGTATATACTAACTGTTACACTCTCTCTCTCTCTCTCTCTCTCTCTCTCTCTCTCTTACACACATGCACACACACACTGACAGTCAGCAGTTCTCCAGGGCTTTGGCTGTATAATGAGTTTCAGCTGATTTGTTGCCAGTGACAGCATCTGTTGATGTATTGTCAGGGCTCAAGGGTAACCACCACTCCTTCAACTATTGGAGTAAACATGCAGTCTTTCTCTTTGTCCTACGCACATAGACACATACACACACACATTAAATACTCTGAAACACTGTGTGTGTGGGGGGGTTAGGAGTAGGGGGTATTGGGTGGGCGGTCAGTTGCGAAAGACCATCTCTGTCTCTGTAAAACAGCACAGACCCATGGAAATGTTTGCTGCAACAGTTAAACAGCTGCTCCAAATATTTGTGCAACTTCAACTGCAAATGTGTTGCACTCGAGCTCTTAGAGAATCTAAGATGGATTTTGGTATAAACACAAGTAGTCACTAACTAACATCATCCATTTTCTCAGCTGGAGGGTTGCTCGTACATTAAAAGACTGATCTATTAGCTTTTACCAGTATTTATCTTTTTTTAACAATGTGACGGCACACAGCTGGTGCTCTCCACCCCCAATGTGGAGCTCAAATAAGCACAATGAGATATGAGATTGGACAGATAAATCATTCTGCTTTGTTCATTTATATTACCACAGAGTGCATAATCATGCTTATTCCATGGCCACTTATCAGCCAAGGTAAGGAGATGTTTGAATTACCCTCTATTTTTATAGTGTTTTTGGTCACCTTCATGGAGCTACATAGCTAACATTAGCATTAACAGCTGTTTACTTACCAGTCTAGAAGAAACATTGTGAATTCAGCATCAAACTTCATTCCTTTATCCACCAACAGCTGGAGAGCAACACCAATGTTAACTCGTCTCTTGTCATCTTTTTATCTACTGAAGTTAGCACGCTAACCAGCTAGCCCCGGCCCGTCCCGTCACTTTCTGATAGCGACTCACTGCAGCCTCCAGTCTGCCTTGAAGATGTAGCGCTGGCCAGAGGGCGTATTATACTTGTCTTGTAAATGCAACAATGGCCAAAGCTCTTGTAAAGCAAGAATCGCCACCACCTGCTCCCTGCAAGAAACCATGTTCGGCAACAGAAAAAAACGTCCAAACAGCCCCTTTAACCAATCAGTTTTGTTACCAGGGTTAGATCAGAAGCCTCTGTTCTGATTGGCTCACCGACTCGTTGTTACTAGAGCTCCAGAGAGAAGCCTGAGAGAGGAGATGTAAAACTACGTTTAGATGGTTTTTGGTTCTTAAAACCACAAATATATCTTCTTATGGATCAACACTTCAAATGAAACACAGGAAAATAGTAAAATATGGTATGGACATTTAAAACAAACTGAGTTCAAATTTGATACTAGTTTATTGAAACATGGTTTGATTCACTCTTGATACTGTGGTGAAGATCTGCTGGGATATCCCTGCTCTGGACCATTGAATGATTCAGCTTATTAAAATGATTAACTACACATTTACTTTTAATTAATGTTCCTGCAGATTTACATCCAAAGGTTTTGCCTGAAAGGAAACCATTTCCAGAGTCGACATTAAATTGTGTCACCATTCAGACTGGAGGGCCAGAGCTCATTTAAGCCACCATCTTGATTGGTTTATGTTGTCCCTGTGGTTGAAGCAGCACATCAAAGGCTTGTGAGCAGAGGGTGACAGAGGGATGGATGGGATAGTCTGGATGGGCAAAGGAATGTGGCTCTACTGTCAGCCTGTAGGGCGGCTGATAAAAGAGAGGCTTTGTTCCCCAGATGTGACCAATGTACATCATGGTTAAATGTTGAGGTTAGGATTCTCAGTAATCTAAGTCTTTCTAGTGTGAATGTTTCTCCAGTTAGGTTTTAATGTGATACTGATGTTTTTGGAACACATCTGTTTAGAGCAAATGTTTACTGATTTATAACAAGTAGTGAGTAGTCGTGAAGAACAAGACAATGATTTGTGTGTTATCAGTTTATCAACTGATCAATCAAAAATCAAGTTTTTGTTCAGAATTGTAACTTAGATGCAGATCTGACCATGTTTTAAGACAAAATTATACTTTATTCCATTTAATTCCAAACAGTTCTTCCTTTTTCTTGCCGTTCTCTGTAATCTCTGTGTCATCTCTGTAATGCACCTAGAGAGATGAAACTCACCTGGTTCTGGTTGAGACAGCAAACAGTTCCAGATTTGGGACTCAATGATAAACAAACACCTGTGTGTGTGTGTGTGTGTGTGTGTGTGTGTGTGTGTGTGTGTGTGTGTGTGTGTGTGTGTCTGTGTGTGTGTGTGTGTGTGTGTGTGTGTGTCTGTGTGTGTCTGTGTGTGTGTGCGTGCGTGCATGTGTGTTAGGCTCTTTTTGGAGAGGGCCCAGCTGGAGTACACTGAGGAGGAGAATAACATCCTTGGCCAGGGGGGCAGTGGGACCATCATCTACCGAGCTCGATACCGGGACCACCCGGTGGCCGTCAAACGCTTCCACTTCAAGAAGTGTCGACAGCAGACCATCAGCATCGACACAGGTACAGAGCCATCTTCTTCTTCTCCTTAGTGACGTGTGTCTAGTGTTTCATTAAATTGTTTGATGGGTTTTTGAAATCTGACACTAATGTTCTGGAAGCTGCTCATGGACAATATTTGGTGTCAGTACTAAACAAAACCAAGAATTTCTAACTTGTATGGGTTGTCTTGTGTGGCTCATCCTCACAACCATTAATAATACTACCTGGAATTACAATATTTACATGTTCCTTAACTGTGTAAGAGTTTTCCACAGCACGCCGCTCAGTCAGTCAGAACCAAAGGATGCATGCCAGGATCATTTTTCTAACTTTTTAAAAACTTAAAAATGTTCACAAATTTTGTGATATATTCTGAAAGAATTTGTTATGAAATAATTTATGTGTTTCTAGAAAGTGTAAAACAATGACATGGCAGTACGACTTGCTTCTCTCTATAGCTAATTGTTGCTTCCCCCGCCACCACCACCCACACACACAAACACACACACACACACACACACACATAAATAGCATATCCCATACAGCCATAAAAAGGAATCCACCATCTTTTTGTCCTTTGATGATTACTTATTTGTTAGAACACATGAAAATAAAATCCTAAAAAAACTCAGTTGACCTTATACAGGGGGACAATTTGACTTGTCACACAGGTGTAACAAATAACATTATTGATGACCCCATTCCATTAAGGTGCTTGTACTGCACTGCTAAGGCGTATTAGGATAACTACTGTAAATGAACACAGTGCATTTCTTGCCACGACAGTCAATGGACCTTTTCCACAG